AGCCTCGCCCCCTGGTGGGCTGAGCTGGCCACACACACACACACACACACACACACACACAAATAAATAAAAAAAATAAAAATAAAATAAAAATCAAACAATAAATATGATTTTGGCTTTATTATCATTTTTGCCCTTGTGAGTAGTTTTTTAAAGCAGATGTAAATAGTTTGACAAGTAAAACAAAAGCTGCATTTTATTTTAGTTATGTATTTATTTATGCATTAATTTACTTTGAGGCAGCATGTTGCTTAGGCTGGCCTTAAACTCCTGGATTCAAGCTATCTTCCTTCTTGAGTGTTCCTAGTAGCAGGGACTACAGACATGTACTCTATGTCCTGTGGGAAAAAAACATTTTAAGCACAGGAAAATTTTGATCCAAGTGAAAATTCATGTTCTATGCAATAGTAAAGCATAGTGTTTCTTTTCCAACTTTAGGGGTTATTTCTGCACATCCCTGAAAAACAATGGAATAGTTTCATGGTGCACTTATCATAGGGAACTGTCAGTGTACTGTTCATCTAAAGTCGGCTTGATTTAGTGAAAGACACAGACAGCTACATCTGTCTCTTCCCACTGGTGTTTTGTTCCATTTTTTACAATAGTTCTCAACCTCTCGAATTTTAAGCCAAGTTCAGGTGATACCTCCAGTAACCAATACTTTTAATAAAGCAAACAGGAAAGCCAAGGAAATAGAATAATCATTATCAAGTTGAGAATTAAAGACTGGATCAATTTTAAGTCATAGAAATGTGCAGTGGAGGTGAATGGCAGTGTGTCTTTTCTGTCTAATATATTCTCTTTAAGTAACATAAGCTAAAAAAAGAAGCTAAAGATGAACAAGTTCTAGCTCAGAAATAGGGTTGGATATATATCATCCAACTTGCTTTATCATGAAAAGAAGTCCTGCTAGGTGTGGCAGTGCATGCCTGTAATCCCAGCACTGGGGAGGCTGAGGCAGGAGGGTCTCAAGAATGCCAAGCCAGCCTGGGCTACATAAGCGAGTTCAAGACCAGCCTTCACTACATAGTAAAACGTTGTTTGAAAAAAAGAAAGAAAGAGTCCTTTTTCTTTCAGTAAAGAAACAGGACAGTAAGTGAAAACAGGACAATAGGAAGATTAACTTTGCTGTCAACATTGTAAGGGAAACGAACACATGTTAGGTAGAAGGTAAAGAAGTTCAAGAGATATTCATGGGGGTTTAAGGAATGGGGCTACCGTTTCTTCACAGTGAGGCTGCAGAGTGTATACAACTCACCTAGCGTAATTTAACATCAGGACAATTTCAAAACATTGGAATCAAATAATAACATTTTACTATCTTCTTGTGAATTTTGTAGACTTTTAATTTTTACTCTAGGCCTGCTGCTGACAAGGGTGATTAAAGGCATCCTCAGTTGGAAGGCAAAAAAATACGAGGCTAGCTTGCCTGTAAGCCTAGCACTCAGGAGACTGAGAGTTCGAGGTCAGCTAGGGCTACACGGGGGTGAGGGTAGGGAGGGTTGGGGGAAAGGGAGGAGAGAGACAGAGACCCAAGGTTTCACAAGTCCTAGCTGCTTTTGCTACAGAGCTGGGCACGTGGTAGAGACTCAGCCCTGAACTTGACAGGTAGAGGTGGGGACAGAGAAGGCCGGAGATCTGCCAACCCCCAAACGGGGTAGCTTGTGAAGCCGAATATGGGAGGGGGCAGGCTACAGCAGATAGCAATTTAGAAGGCTGCAAGCGCCAGCCCGATCGAAAAGACCTGAGTCCGCCGTGGACGTGCGAACCAGAAAGGCAGTCCCGCACTCAGACTGCGGGGAGGCGGGGATATGGGCGGGGCCTCCTAGAGGCCCGCCCCCAAGTAGCGGAGGTGACTGGGCGGGCGGGAGACGCTCTGTCCCACACTTTCCCAGTGCTCGGTGGTTTAAAGATGGCGGCGGCAGAGGCGGCGTTGGGGGCGCGGAGTCGCCGGAGGGGGAGGGCAAAGGAGACTCTGTGAGGCGCCTAGAGCTAGCGCGGCGGCAGTGTGAGGATCCTGGTGCCGAGCCGCCCGTGGCGGGCCCCGGGTCAGAGCAGGGAAGGACAGACCTGGGCCGCGCCAGGAGCCTGAGGCCGGAGCGGAGGAGGAATGTGACCGGGGGTCGGTGGGGGCGCGGGAGTACGCGAGCGCAGGGATGGGGCAGCAGGTGGGCCGCGTCGGGGAGGCTCCGGGGTTTCAGCAGCCTCAGCCGCGCGGGATCCGGGGCAGCAATGCAGCCAGGCCCTCCGGTCGCAGGCGGGATCCGGCGGGGCGCACCACTGAGACCGGCTTCAATATCTTTACCCAGCATGGTGAGTGTGTCCGCGAGCCGGCGTGATCACTTGGGGGGAGGCCGGGGGTGCGGTCAGGGAGGGGTGGGAGGCAGACAGGCAGCCCTTAAGGGTCGCGAGGTGGAGGGGTGCCTGAGAGCGTGGGCGGAATCTGCTGCCATCTGGGCCAGTCGCGGGAGGCAAGTCACACCCCTCCCCCCTCCCGCGTCCAGCCTAGCTGGCAGCTCCTGGGAGCGGTGGAGGAGAGAGCAGTGGGCTTAGGGACCGTGGCTGGACTGTCCTCTCCCTTGGGACGCGACTGTGCAGCTGGAGGAGAATGGTGGATGGTATCCCCAGGGTAGGGCAGGACGAAGGGAGGTATGAACTCAGTCTGGGAGGTGGAAAGATAAACCAGTTGTTGGTGAGGGGAACAGGAGTTGTGCCCCAAGGGATTGGCAAATAGAAACGGAATCTTCGGAGACTGACATAAAGTATGTGTGTATGTCAGGCATTGAGTGGCAGAACAGCGAATTGTGAACAGTGCCCTGGCATACCGTTCTGTAGGAAAGATAAGGGCAATATGTCATCACATTTGATACTTTTGTTTTTTAAAATTATAAATGACTTTCCAAACCATCGCGTTCCATACCTTTGAATAGGACACAAGATTCTTAGATGACTGGCAAATGGGTTGGTAGTCATGATTAGGGCTTCTGGGTATATAGGACCAAGATTTTTTTGTGTGGTGTTTGTGTATGTCTGTATGCAAATACTTACATGTATATATCCTCCATATAGTCTTTTTTTTTTTTTTTTTTTTTTTTTTTAGAACCAGGGATTGAACTCAGGCCCTTGCGCTTGCCAGGCAAGCGCTTATTCTACTGAGCTATCTTCCCGGCCCTTTTATATAGTCTTGGGTCAGTTTAGTCTTATTTGTGTTTCTAGAAGAGTTCTCTTCAAACTCTTATGTCATACATGCTTATTAGTTTTAAAAAATGAGCATATACTGTAACAACTTAGTTCCTTATTTATATGTGTATGTTGCTGCAGTACTAATATGTAACTTATAAACACAGAGATAGAATATACACAGAAATAGAATAAAAGTAGCTGGCCAGGATAGAATGTATCTGTAATCCCAGCACTCTAGGAGGCTGAGGCAGTAGGATTGCAAGTTTGAGACCAGCTAGGTCAATTTAGCAAAGGGCTAGGGATATAGCTCAGTGTGAAGGTCCTGGGTTCAATCCCTAGTACGAGAATAAATACAAACAGGCTAGGGATACAGCTCAGTTTGAAGGCCCAGGATTCAATCCCCCAATGCAATAATGAATGAATGAATGAATAAATAAATAAATAAATAAATAGGCTGAGAATGTAGCTCAGCATGAAGGCCCTGAGTTCAGTTCTCAGTTACTAGCCACCACCCAAGGTGAACTGTCAATGTAAAGCAGGGGCAGAGTGCATGGAGGCACTGGGCAACCCAGTAGATTCTTTTGCTCTTCTGTGGCAGGTTTTTTTTTTTTTTTTTTTTTTTTTTTGTAAGGTCTACAGGGTCTCACTATGTAGATCGGACTCGGTGATTCTCCTGTGTTCAGCTTCCCAAAGAGCTGGGATTACAGGCACGCGCCCAATCTCAATCACCATCTCAGCTTGCCCTGGGGTTGGGGCCAGCGCGGCACATGGGGAGTCAAACCCCGGCCCCTGCATCTGCCTTAGCAAGCGATTTAATCCGCTGAGCTATGTGTCAGGCCCTGCTGCAGTGTTCTTATGCCACTTTTGAGATCACCTTTGTAGAGGATGGAAGAGTAGAAAATGAAGAAAACAAAAAAATGACCATGAGATTTCAATATCCTGAGGCCCAAGAAGGACTGGAGATATGGATGTGGCTTCTAAATGTGGATAATTGAAATTGAATTAAAGGTAGCAAACTACAATTCTATTGAAGATGCATGTAGAACTAATAAAGAAAGAAGGCAGGATGAATATCTAACCTAGGAGTACTCTGCCACTGAGCTCTATCTTGAGCCCTTTTTGAGACAGTCTCACTAATTTGCCCAGGCTCGCCTCACAGTTGCAGTTATTCTGCCTCTGCCTCACCTCCCAAGTAACTGGGTTTATAGACCCACACTACCAAACCAGGCTCAGCGTGTTCTACACAATTTAGGAAAGACAAAGAAGAAAAAGTGTGAACTATTTATTAGAAGTGGAAGTAATGGTAGATGGTAGCATGCAAAGAGTTGAGACCAAAGATCTGTGGCTAGTAGGTTGAGTTGGACCGTTCTGCATTTGGACTTGTGAATAAACTGAGTTACTTCTTAATGGAAGAAATATAGAAGATTTGGGGGCATTCAGACTTTATGTGCCTACTGTTAAAGATGTACTCTGGGCTCTCAAAGGTGTGTAATGAGCATTAAGTGTTAGTCTTTTTTTTTTTTTTTTTGAGACGGTGTATCTACTAGCCCGGGCTGACCTCAGACTCTTGATGATCCTTCAGCCTCAGCCTCCTGAGTGCTTGGATTGCAGGTGTACCACCACACCTGGTCTGTGTAGTCTATTGGAATTATGCTCTAAAATATAGGAGGAAAGAATGGATTAGTGGCTTTTAGGGAAGAGGTCATCCAAGTAGCTTTGACTTGTGGGAATTATTACTGTTACTATGTATTGTACTTGGCCCACTGGACAAAAATGACCTTCTTCCTCTAGTATCTTATTCAGATATAAGATTTTCAGAGAGGAAAAAGTCATGAAGAATAGGAAGATTTTGAAGGATTTAGATCTGTGGAGCTTATTGATGGTGGGTGAAAGAATGTCTCTTAGGAGTGAAGTAGCCTTACCTTCTGAGGGAGAAAATCCTAGAGCAGAAATTAGAAGAGTCAAGATTTGGTTCAGCTTCTCCCTGACTGGAATAAGTAACTTCAGAGTCTCACTGTAGACCTTTGACCAAGTCATAGAACATTGTTTTAGAGCTTTTGCACAGAGACCTTGTTAAAGCAGATTGCTGGGTCCCACCTTGTGAGTTTCTGACTTGAGTCTGGTGAGGGGCTTGAGAATTTGCATTTTTGACACATTTCCAGGGCTTGCTTCTGCTACTGGCTAGGGGCCACACGGTACTTGGTAGGCCACTGTTGTGAGATGAAGACTAATGAATCAAAGGTGATTCAGGGATTGTCAGGAAATAATGTAGTTTTTCACTTCCATTTAAAACCAGTGCAAATGTCTGTGTGTTCCAAGTTTAGCATCTGCATGTAAGTGACCACTGCCTTTAAGACTATCTTTTTAGTATTTTATCTTTCAAAGTTTATATGTTGAAGGCTTGTAAGGAGATGCATTTTTGGAAGAATCTAGAGTTATCAAAGAAAAGGGATGGTAAGGAACATAGGGTTCTGCTAAGAAAGTTATGCTAGAGTAAGGTGGGTTTCAGTTCCTACAAGAATTGGGTGGTAAAATAATTTTCATTTTAAAAATGCTGTGTGTGGGCTGGTGAGATGGCTCAGTGGTCTAAAGCACCTACTTAGAACAAGCTTAGCAAAGCACAAGGACCGCTGTTCAATCCCCCAGCACCACATGCCAGCCAGCCCCGCCCCCAGGTGGGCTGAACTGGCCACACACACACACACACACACAAATAAATAAATAAATTTAAAAAAAAATAAATAAAAAATAAAAATGCTGTGTGCCTAGCATGTTTTAAAACACTATATTATTTATTTATACCTCATAAACTGTATTTACCCAAATTGAAAAAGTTTAGAGACCACAGAAATTGGGATATCTATTTGTGATCCAGTAGTCTTGCTGTGATGGTGCCTTGTTACCTTTGGAGCATGTACTTCTATATATATTGTCTATATAGCAAGGTTTTTACTTTGTCTCCTGAGATCAGTGAGCTTTTCAGAATTGTGGGTGGCTTTGACTAAATAGTAAAGGGAATACTATTAACATTTTGTCCTTAAAAATGAAAGTGTAGGGTAGGTGTTTTGCACATCTGTAATTCCCATGTTCAGGAGGCTGAAGCAAGAGGAAGCTACAAATTCGAGGCCAGCCTAAACTCTGTGTATTGAGACCCTGTCTCAAAAACAAAACAAAACAAAAGAACTACATTGGGCTAATTTTCTGTGCTTTAAATGTGCTGAGTTTGCAGCGGTGGTGGTGCCAGCTCATCCATAGTAAACTCTGCCAGTATTGGCATCTGATGCAGCGGAACACAAAGCTTGGTAGGCCCAGGCCGTTTGTATTCCCTGTTTTGCTGCCCAGAGAGAGGAAAGGTTTAGAAACCTTTCACTTGATGTGGTAAAGGTCAGAGAAAATGTTGTATATGTGTGTGTGTGTGTGTGTGTGTGTGTGTGTGTGTGTGTACATCATGTGTGTATGTGTACATGTATACTATAATACAGCTTTTCCAATGTTCTCCTGCTTATTAATCCCAATATATTAAAATGACAATACTGAATTAGGGCCACTTGGCACTTTATAGTTCTAAGGTTGTAGGTATTCACTGGGAAATATTTTCTTAAAACTAACAGTACTAACAAGCACAGTTGATATAAACTATTCCTTATAGAAAAGGAAGGTTGATTCATGAAGGCTTTTGAATTTGCATTTTTTAAAATGTATTTAGTACAGGGTCTATAGGGTCTCAGCTACACAGATCTGACTTGTAATGATCCTCCTGTTTTCAACCTCCCAAGCACTGGGATTACAGGTGCGCACCATCATGCCCAGTCTCACTCCCATTTTAGCATGCCTGGAGGGCCAGCACATCTACCAGGGACCATCCCTGTGTCTGCCTGAGTATGTGCTTTAACTGCCGAGCTATCTGGTCAGCCCGAAATTTGCATTTTTAATTATGTAGTAAGATACAAAGATGGAAAAAGATTAACAGCTGGGGCCAGGGAGATGGCTCAGTAGAATAAGTGCTTCCCTGGCAAGCACAAGGGCCTGAGTTCAATCCCTGGTTCCGCAAAAAAAAAAAAAAAAAAAAAGATTAAAGATTAACAGCTAAATGAACAACTACCTATAGTGTAGTTGTGAATGTCCTTTTG